TATATATATCGGAGAGCCGAGTTCAAATTTCAGTTGAATCCATTACATTCACTTACGTGCTAATACCGTTGGGAAAGGTATGAATCCTCTTCTCTCTGCAGCTATAGGTAAATAGCAGGACAGACGATAGAATTCTATAGCCTTGGATGGCAACTGGTCTAGGAGAAGGACAACTCTGAATTCCAAATCTGCAGAGGGTCGTTTGGGGACCTTGTGGCACATAGTGCACCAGGTCTCTGTATTCGGTCCTTCAAAAAGTGATATATATATATATATATATATATATATATATAAAGATATTTTTGTAGGTACAAAATTTAATGATCGAAATAAAAGTATAAAATTTAATATTACAAGACATATTAAACAATAAAAAATAAAAAATAAAAAAAACCCCACAACAACGGGGGGTGGGAGCAACCGGTTTCGCTCCCGCTCTTCAGGCTTCAACGGGAGATTCAAAATTAATACAGAAAAATGTACAATAAGGAATAGGGGGGGAATACATATATATATATATATTTATATATATGCAGAAGGAACTAGAGACAGATGAAAGCGAGTCCCAGCAAACACTCACGTTATTTGCACAAAGAAGGCTTGCGGGATCCGATGTAAAGTGCCTCCAGAATATATATATATATATATATATATATAAGAAAAAAATGTAAAACGTTACATAATCTCTTAATGTTAAGAAATGCATCCGCGATCTTTTTTGTTTGTATCTTTTTATCTTACACAAGAAAAAGCCAATCGTCAATATATTTGCATTACTACTACAGATTGTATCACGACTACAGTGTACCTGAAGCGTGTTGTTCGCGTTCTCTAAATCTTTTAAAATTATATTATGCTTTTGTCTTACCAAGTCCGCCAAAACACGTATTAGTATTGATAAAAAAAATCTAGAAAAGAAAAACAAAGAGAAAGCAAGCGAATAACAGAATAATAAATCTGTTTAACCTTCTTGATTCATATTTGCGATCAGACAAGAACAATCATAAAAGCCACAAGACTTAATGCTTGAAGCAGTTACCGAACGTCGACGATGAATATCAGAATGTGACCTCAGCAGTTGAAACAAAAAAACCTTATTCGAAAGATTGCAACGAAGCAGACGTTCGTAAGCGAACTTTTTTCTTGTGCGTTGTGAAAAAAAAGATGCTTTTATCTAATTCTATCTCTATTAAATTAGACATCATATTAAATTAAGCATGAAATATTGAAACCTCATATGAAAAAAAATTCTGGCTTCAATTCCGACGAACATATAACATTCATCCATGCTTTGAATATTACTGCCACATTTGGTCGGATGCTCCTTCTATATATTTAAGAGAATCGTGATTAAATCCGAAGAAAAAAAATCTGCAATGTTATTTGCTCTGACCTGGCATCTCGGCATCAGTCAATTTCCCACTGCCGTAGCGTTGTTTCTCTCTAATTTTTCTATGATAATTGTTCCGATGTTGTTATTTTTATTCCCCAACACCGACAGACAAATTTTACATATGAGAAGCAACGGTACACCTAGGCGCAAATTAAAATATCAAAGCACACTTAGCAAAATATTTAAATACATTTAAATATTTCTGTTTATATTTCTGAGATGAGGTATTAGGTGCACTATTTACATTATTTGAAGTATTGTCCTCATCTTTGTCGCACTATTTATTACAACGTTTCGGCCGTTGTACGCTCCGGCCTTCTTCAGATGGTTGGAATGTCGAAATTAACCCTTTATTTCGCTCACTGGGGGTAGAGTGTTTTAGTTCCACGTGCCATGTTTTAATGGATGTCAGTTACCAGTTATCTCCTGTTAATTTCCCTATCCAAGTTCTCCACTGCCTTAACCGGGTATTGAACTCACACCCTTTGTGTCCTCAAGGACACATGGCACAGTGGATAAAGGCGTTAGTTACATCCAGTAACAGGACCAAAATAGTGTGAGTTCAATACCCGCTTAAGGCAGTGGAGAACTTGGAGAGGGGAATTAACAGGACATAACTGATAACTGACACCCATTAGACATGGCACGTGGAACTAGAACAGTCTACCACAGTGAGCGAAATAAAAGATTCAGTTCGACATTCCAACCACCCGAAGAAGGCTGGAGCGTACAGCGGCCGAAACGTTGTAATAAATATGGCGACAATAGTCCGAGTAATGTAAATAGTGTACATTTAAACGTTATGAAATAAAACCATAGATTTAAAATGTACACACACAAATATGAACTTTATTTCAATGTCTTTATTCAATTTCTTGGGTAACAAATAGCGATTCTCTCCCCTTCATTGAGATAGCCACGAGGATCACGTGACAATCGGTCAATGACGTCAGGAGGCAGATTGACGGAACCGGTTCTCATGTAGAGCCCAAAGACGAAGGACATACTTAGGCCACGTCAATAAACCTTACAGGAAAAACTCACATAGCCTAGCCCAGTTCGTAGGAAAGCAGCCAGTTTTCCTTTCGGGAAATATAATAAGTAACGTTCCCCTTTCTTACAGGCTATTGAGGTGTATGTTATAATTTCTATGCGTGGGACACTTGTATATATGTATATATCTAATTTTGTTTGCAACGTAAACCTTTTTGTGAGCAAAACATGTTTGTTATTCTTTTTCCATTCTGATATTCCTTTCTGTTCTTGAAATATCGGTGTTGTTATATCATGGATATAGCAATGCCCATAGCGAGAGAAACGTACACATTTGTTTTCCACGCTTTCATTACAAACTATTTGACAGAGAGCACTTTTTTTTAAGATTTCTCAAATGCACAGATAGTACATAATACACTGTATCTATCTATATTTCTGAGATGAGGTATTATGTACACTATTTACATTATTCTCATCTTTGTTTCTATATTTATCACAACGTTTCGGCCGTTGTACGCTCCGGCTTTCTTCAGGTGGTTGGAATATCGAACTGAAACTTTTATTTCGCTCGCTGGGATAGACTGTTCTATTTCCACGTGCCATGTCTAATGGATATTAGTTATCACCTGTTAATTCCCCTCTCCAAGTTCTCCACCGCCTTAACCAGGTATAGAACTCACACTTTTTGGATCCCGTCACTGGATATAACTAACGCCTTTATCCACTGTGCCTGTGAATTTCTGGGTATGATAAACCTAATGTCTACAGCATCTTTTTTTACCAGTGCTCATATTACAATTTTTGCTTTTATTATTTCATTTATTACCAGAGCTCATATTGCAATTTTCGTTGTTATTATCGCTTTTCTCTGGCACTCCATATTACTGGTGCCCATATTGTATTTATTTCTATGCTTGGTCGGCTCAGGAGATATGTATGGTCTAGCATATGTGGTGATTCCTTAAGTTTACGAATTTTCCAATGGTGTTCCTTGTCTATGATCTAAACCTGATCCCACAGAGGCGGTGATCTCCTTCTCTCTCCATATGTGGTCAGCCACGCCTGATTTTTTTCTTTCCCCTCGTGTTACAGCTTTCTGGTGTTCTTGAAGTCTTACCTTGAGGGGGCAGCCTGTCTCCCCTTTATATTTCTTTCCGCAGTTGCACGGGATGGTGTACACACAGTCTTTAGTCATATCTCTATCTATAAAAGGCAGGATGTGTGTGTGTGTGTGTGTGTGTGTGTGTGTGTGTGTGTGTGTGTGTGTGTGTGTGTGTAACGAATGCACAGCCGCAATTTTCGACGGATTTGCACCAAAGTTTACATGCACATGCTCCAAGTTAGCAGAAAGGCCAAGACTGACTTTGCATTTTCCAACTCCCATCGATAGTGGATAAAATCGATTTTTCATGCTTCTATGGCAGTTTTCATGTAGTCTTCGGCCATTTTTTACTGTCCAGAGAGAGAGCCAATAGCAGGCTGCCACGAATAGACAGGAAGATTCTATTGGCCAGTGTGACAGCCAACAGCTGACAGACACGAATGTTAATTAGCATGCTAGCATGCAAAAAAATCGATAGCTGCATTCGTCACAAGTTGGAAAAATTTAAATCTGCATGGCACTTTACTCCAATTGGTTCATTCGCTTGCTTAAACTCAACGTTGATTCTGATTCCGCAGAACTGGGTTGGTTGTGAAAAAGTATTTGTTGTAAACATTCTTTTTTTATTCGGTTTTTCCAGTTACGAGTCCTTTTTTAAAGCTGATCGTTTTGTGTTCATTTTGTTTAGTTCTTTTTTCGGAACAGATTTAATGTTTAGCATAGAGCTTAGAAAAAATTCGCAGTGTGAGATAGGCAAGAAGTAAGGCATTTAGCAACATCAGCACGGCAAAGGGCACTCCTTTAAAGGCAAGGAAGGGCAAAAATATTTTAAGTCAAGTGATAGCGATTGCTGTATGAGTCGTATGATTTTTGAATCAAGCCCGGGCAACGCCGGGCCATGCTGCTAGATCTCCTCTATAACGACAGCCAATTGTTCACTGTATCATTAGTGCAGCGTCGGTGGTGCATAGAGTAGAAACTTGGACCAAGCAGCGCAGGGTATCACTGCTAGTTTTATTATGAAATTGTAACGTTTGAGAATAAAATAATTTCCTGAATATTTCGTCTGAATGGCGACCTCCAACTGATCAGAATTTAATAACATTTTATTAAAAAAACAAGCAATATATATATATATATATATATATATATATATATATATATATATATATATATATATATATATATATAAAATCATCTGTTGTTATTTTAGCATACGAACTTTACTCACCTCACGTTTGTGGAGTCTTCAGATAATTTCATTGAAAAGAGGTTGATTCTAAAACAACAAAGACTTTTTTGGCTGTTTCAGACTTCAAATTGTACTTGTCTAACATTGCAACTGCTCTGGGGTCTTATGACACATTTATCGAATAAGCAATGGCTTGAGTCGACCAATGATCTCTTTTTCGTGATTCAATTTACCAACACGACTTGTCTACTCCTGTTGTATAACGTTTGTCTTCTTTTGTTCGCTTTAACGATTTTATTGAATAGCCATTGCATATAATGAGGAAGGCTCTTCCTGCTACAGGATTTAACGCGCATAATCTACTATGTGACACATGGCGACCCCTAACAGACCGACACACACGTGATCTATCTATCTATCTATCTATCTGTTTATTATCTATCTACATATCTATGTCAGTTCATTATCTAAGTTTGTTTATATCACTTTTTGTCTTTCCTTCTCTATCTCTCTCAATCCGTTATCTATCTATCTATCTATCTCATCTCTTCTTCTTTATCTATCTATCTATCTCAGCTTCTTATTATCTATCTATCTATCTATCTATCTATCTATCTATCTATCTATCTTATCTATCTATCTATCTCAGCTTCTTCTTATCTATCTATCTATCTATCTATCTATCTATCTCAGCTTCTTATTATCTATCTATCTTATCTATCTATCTATCTATCTATCTATCTATCTATCTATCTATCTATCTATCTATCTATCTATCTATCTATCTCAGCTTCTTCATCTATCTATCTATCTATCTATCTATCTATCTATCTATCTCAGCTTCTTCTTATCTATCTATCTATCTATCTATCTATCTATCTATCTATCTATCTATCTATCTATCTCAGCTTCTTATTATCTATCTATCTGTTAATCCTTTTCCCTTAATATGTACCTATCTTTTCCTCGGTCGATTGCTGAAGATAAACAACGTTGAGCTCAGTCAGTATTGGGGGACTGCTTCGTAACAATGTGCACTGTAAGCACTGGTACAGTAAACCCCGAAAAAAAAACCATGGCATTTACAATTTTAGCAAAAATCTAACGGTTCGTACAACGACAGACAGTTGTTTCAGGTCATATCGGCAGAGGAACGCCATTGTTAACTGCAAGGAGACAGCATCTCTAACAATGAGGCAGAAATTGTGACTGTTATGGACCCAGCGTGTGAGCAACGATCTTAGAGAGTTTGCAAACAAGGAGGAGGCTTATACTTAATATCAGGAAGAGAAGGTTTCCTCAAAGAAGAGACTCGAGGCAACGGAGATGTGGTTCTACAGAAGGATAATAAGGATATCAAAGACCAAGTGTGTGAGCAATGATGAGGTCCTAGAGAGAATGCAAACATCGAGGAGGCTTATGCTTAACATCAGAAAAAGGCAGCTGAAGTTTCTGGAACACATAATGAGGAAGGAGGGCCTGGAGAATCTGATACTCACGAGTCGAATAGAGGGAAAGAGAGACAAGGGAAAACAATGCATGACATACCTGGCGGGCTTAAGCAAGTGGATGACAGAACGTGGTCTGGGGGAGGAAGCAGAGGGAAGGAACTTGTTGAGAGCTGCAAGGAATAGAAGGAGGTGGAGAGCCATGATCGTCTACGTTCTGAAAGAACATAGCACATAAAAAAAGTACCCAGTTACTTAAAATTGAAAAAACAGGTTTAGTGCAATCATTTTCCATCATGCTCGCCTGAGAATGATACGAAGTATTGATTATTGACTTTTTTCTGGATTTATAATTAAAATGTTTATTTACTTTTTTTCACAGTAATGTTCATGTTGTACAAGGCCCAAGCGCCACTCAAGTTATAGGGTTACATACTCAAATCCACTGCCTCAAACAAGGTGATCATGCCACCACGACGCAATGTGAAGTGAAAAAGAAGGAAAAGACTTTAGAGGGAACCGGAAACCCAATCCTAAACAGGAAACAAGTGATAAAAACTCCACTCCGGAATTCTTTTAAAAGAACCGTGGAGGAGTGGGAACTGGACGATTGGCAAACTCCTAGTGAGGAAAATAAATAGCATATAAAAGTTCAATGTTTTAGACGGAGACGTTAGAAAATTCAAATAAAGACATTCTGCGCTGAAAATGGAAACGACCTTAGCATTTAGATCCCAGTTGAGAGTAAATGGAAGTAAATAAAGTGTATAAAGGAAATTAAAGCAATATCGATTTTTTAATTTTTTTTATTTTTTTAATATTTTTATTTTTAGTTATTTAAATTTTGATTTTTTTTATATTTTTGAAATATTTATTTTTTTTAAATATTGCTCATCAAATAATAACATAAGTGTTGGGGCGCACCCACCTTCTGACTGATAATGGACTTATCCCTCTACGATATAAGTCAGTGATAGAGAGAGTAATGGGGTAGTGGGAAAGTGTTAGTGTGAAGGATCAGGTTACAATTACATACCGTTGGACTGTAGACTTTTGCTATTGTTACTTACTAACCGGCGTTTCTTATTACTAATCACTCTGTTGTTAATTACCTCTTACAAATATACCAGTATTTATCCCTACAACTGTGTTTGTCTTTATTCGAATACACACACGCGGGGAACACTCCCAACAACTCAACAATAAGTTACCCGGTTTGATTTAATAAAGTGTTTATTTTATATCTGTTGACGTTATTCAAAGTAAAATGCCAATATATGATTAAAAACGAATCACCAAATATTCTAGTATCCCCAGTGATCATAAGATTCTATTAAATTAAACATAATATTAAATTTAGAATGTTAAAATGTTTAAACTCAAAGGCCAACTTCTGGCTTCAGTTTCAACGAACACCACATAATGCACTGCGTTGGACAATCATAAACTATTTATCAGGAGATTCGTTTTAAAATCCTTTGAAATTTTACATGTGATCCAAGCGCCCCACCCAGACTTCTCTAGGGCTGTAGGCTGTCTGCTCTTATCGGTTTCCTGTAGATATTTCGAAGAATTTCGTCAGTTGGTATCGGACTGAAACAACAGTACAAGGGTATGTAATCATCATCTTTGATTTTTTTTTTTTAATACTAGATGCTGGGTTCAATCTGTAGGAAAGACTACAAAACACTTTCCCCTCGCCTTTTATAGGCAAAAACACACAAATGCATGCTGGGATTTTTTTTTCTTAACTTTTAACTTAATTTTTTCTTTTTTTAAATTAATAGACCGGTTTTAAATTTAACATGTCTTAGTCCCGATCTGCTTTGTCTCTTTGAGTTGTATTACTTTGTCGAAGGCCATGTTTGCTTGTCCGAACTTGCTTTTGTTTGTCGATACCAATTCTTAGATTGTGAAATTTTTGCTTTCTTACTGTCAATTTGCCTTGCATATATTGTTTGCTTGCTTGATATTATTTTATTTTGCCCTGTGTCTTTTTCATTTTATTGCAAAATTTGTTAATTTTGTTTCTTGGACAGTTCTGTCATTTATCTTGCATTTGACCATGGCTACTCACTCCACAAACTCACTATTCCCTTCTTCTCCGCTTGTCTTCAATATATCTTGTAAGTGTCAGATTCTCCAAACCCACTCTCCTCATTGTTGTAGCTTACCTACGGACGATAATTGGTATGCCCCCATTCCCATAAATACAGTAGTAAATACTGTATGTTGGTCTGCAGTCGGAGATTCATTGTGGAATTCACTTGACTCACCTCTAGCAGTTGACAACTTCTACGCGCCGCTATATGTGTTGTTCTTCTCCTAAGTGTTATCGTTCATTACCAACCGTCGTACGATTATTCTATTCCCGAGGTTAAACACCCATCATGTGTCCCCGAAACATCAAATGGATTCTTATGATTCCTTTTTGTTTTCATTTTCTTAATTTCCTTGTTGCCCACATGCTCCATCCATGCTAGTCTGAGCATCTTTCAACAGAATGCCATCTTTTCTTCATATGCCACGAAATTCTCCGGCACTGACTGCCATACATGAGGATTGATATCACATACCATTTCATCACTATTATCTTTGTTTCTAACTAAAACATTCTATTCATACGAACCTATTCTAAAAATTTTATTGGCATTAAATAACCCATTGAGGTGTTGATACACCTTTAAACAAAATAAACCAAACCTTATCTACAAACTGATTTCTTACAAAGAATACATATTCTATTCATACGAACCTATCCTAAAAATCTTGTCGGCATTAAATAACCCATTTAAATTTTGATATGCCGTAAAACAAAATAAACCAAACCTGATCTGCAAACTGATTTCTTACAAAGAATACATATTCTATTCCTATGAATCTATCCTAAAAATCTTGTCGGCATTAAATAACGAATTGTGGTTGATATGCCGTAAAACAAAATAAACCAAACCTGATCTACAAAATGATTTCTTACAGAGAATACATATTCTATTCATATGAACCTATCCTAAAAGTGTTGTCAGCTTAAATAACCCATTGAGGTGTTGATATGCCGTAAAACAAAATAATACAAACCAAACAGTTGTAGTGAACTTTGTATGAATCTAACTCCCGACACAGTAGCAATGCTATGCAAAAACAGCTCGTTAACCTTAATTCTACGGTGAGAACTCATTCTGATTAAATCTACCACCTCCGCTCAGGTTAGTTGCTAATTTCTTTACTGTTCAATGTACCGTATCGAAGAAATGCCGTTAATATGACGAAGTTTATTATCGTTTTCTCTCTATCTCTCTCTCTCTGTCAGTTTCTCTCTCTCTCTTTCTCTTTCTCTATCCCTATATCTATCTACCTCTCTCTATTTCTCCCTATTGCTAAATGATGCTTTTTTGTTTATTATCTCTCTCTCTCTTTATCTATCTATCTATCTATCTAAGCCTGTCCATATCTATCTATCTATCTATCTATCTATCTATCTATCTATCTATCTACATTTCCATTGCCATATGAATTCTTTCAGTTTATCATCATTAATTCTCTCTGTCCCTCTCTCCACCATTTCCAAAGTTTACTATCATTATCTCTGTCTCTCTGTCTCTCTCTCTCCCCCCCCCCTCTCTCTCTCTCTCTCTATATATATATATATATATATATATATATATATATTTGGTTGGATAGATGTGAGTTTGTGACCGTGGGTTTCACGCTTTTAGCGATCGTCAAACTCACATCTATCCAACCAAATATGTTAACTCTATCTCTGATATTGAGCGCTTTCTAATAAGTACCTTAAGGATATAATATATAAATAATTATACATATATATATTTATTTATATTTATATACTTTTCACACACACACACACACACACACACACACACACACACACACACACACACACACACACACACATATATATATATATATATATATATATATATATTATACTTACTTTTTTAAAAAATGTTTCTATCACGACGCAGAAATTACTGCTTCGTAACGAAACTTAATTCTTAAATTAAAATTAAACTTAAAATTTGAAGTTTCCTTTCATTTTAAAGAGATGCTGAGAATAAACTTAAAAAAATTGATTTACTATATAAGCCAAATAGTATTTTATATTTAAGTTAGTGGGGTAATAATTCAAAAAATTTTTATTAAGGGGGTGTTGGTTTTTCGACGAATAAAAATACAAGTGTAATTTTTATGGCAAATTGAAAGTCGGTTAAGTTTAGGTGGGGATTAGAGATTTCTGTTTCTTGATACTGACTTCCTCATATGCGGACTTGTCATCAAGGTTGCCTTTTGAATAAAAAAAAATTCTGAATTCTCTTTAGCCCACCAACTTAAATATAAAATACTATTTGGCTTAAAAATAGAGTCAATCATATTTTTCGAAGTTTATTCTCGGCATCGCTTGAAAATGGAACGAAGCTTTAAATTTTAAGGTTAATTTTAATTTAAGATTTAAGTTTTGTTTCGAAACACTGTAATTTCTATGTCGCGATAGAAAGATATTTTTAAAAAAAAATAATTATATTATGCTCTGCTGTGTACTGAGCACTGTTTTTTTTTAATAAATGCCAAATAAATGAACTCTGTAAATAAATAAATCTGTTTTTCATTTTCTTTTTGATATATATATATATATATATATATATATATATATATATTATTTATTAAAAATATAACATAAATATGTTATAAAATCACTAAAAATTTAGCCATTTTGTTTCAACACCGCTAGTGTCTTATAAATTGATGATACAATCTACATTCAATATCATCACTTGATAAGACACCAGAGGCGCTGAAACAATATGGCTACTTTTGTAGTGATTTTATAACATATTTATGTTATCATTTTTAATAATTATATTCGCTCTACTCTGTATTGAGCACTCTTTTAAGAATAGTAATTGTTGGTCATTGAAATTTATTCCGTATACACCAATCCTAACTTGTATATATATATATATATATATATATATATATATATATATATATATATGAAGAAATATAGTTTTAAGGTGTGCTATATTTATGGGATAAAGTGCTCAATATCAGAGCGTATGTAAATATAAAAGTGAACATTGAAGTCAACACTCAGAGGCGACAGACTGTTTCATGCTAGACGCAATATATATATATATATATATATATATATATATATATATATACACTGCGTGCCAAATTATCGAGATAACTTTTTTCTAATATTTCAAAAACCGTCCAATCAATTCACACAAAATTTTCACACAACGTTGGCAATACTGACCTGCACAATCACTGAATTTTTCGTACTGATATGCGCAATGTAAACATACTGGCGCCATATTTGTTTTCAGCACGGTGATTTGAGCGTGCCAAATTATTAGAAAGGTTTAGTAAAATTCCCAGAATTGAGCAAACAAAACGTTTATTAATGTTGCACGTGAATGTTTATGATCAAAAGAACCTAATAGATAAGATAATCAAACAAATAATAACAGATACAAACAAAGGCACAGTTTTAAACAAATTAATAGGGAATGTGCTTTCCCCGTTTTGAAATTACTTGAAGAAGTCTACGATCCATAGAATTTGTTAATTGTAGGATGTCATCTGCTGTAATGCCGTGAGATATGTCATGAATTGCTTCCCACAATTCAGCGTTGCTCCTGAATTGTCGTCCGTTGGCGTACAGTCTTCGCTTCGATTGGGTTCAAATCCGGAGAATTTGCTGGCCACTTCATTTTTCGAGGTCCATCGAAGCCTAACTGTTTCAAATATTCAGTAGTCTTGTGAGCAGCATGTGAGGGAGCATTATCTTGCATAAAAACAATGGCCCTCCTGAAGACAAATCTTTGCCTTTTCAACCACGGTTCAAGATGCTCCTTCATAAACGCTTATGTATGTATGCATCAGCAGTTATTTTGACGCCGTCTGGTACTCTCCATGGGCCCACTAATGTTTTTCCAATAATACCACCCCAGATCATTATGCCTCCACCGCCTTGTCGGCGTCTGAAACGCTGATGGCGATTCTGTCCGTTCATTACCCAGCCTTTGCACCATCTATCTGGCCCATCAAGTGTTGCTCAAGTTTCGTCTGTGAACAAAACTTTAGAGAAGTCAATCTTCATATTGTCCTCGGCCCATTTCAATCGATTTTGAATGTGATTTCTCGTCAACGGAGACTTCGATACAGGTTTGACTGTTGTTGCTATTTCCCTCAGATACAGACACCGAGTACTTTTAAACACAGTAGGATCCCCAATGCGACTGAAAAGCTCTTGACTGGTAAGTCCAGGGTCCTTCGTGGCTTCTCGTTTCAGTCGTGACATGAGACGACGTGAAATAACCCTCGGCTTGCCTTTATCTGCCCTTTTGCGTACTTGTGTAGGGTCGGCGGTGAACTTTTTTTTTATGACACCTCCCTATCATTTTAGAAATTTCTAGAGTAGATTTACCTTTTGAGAGTTCTGTGGTGATAGTTTTCTTTTCAGCATCACTTAAACTGCTTTTACGACCCATCTTTTCACTAAATTCTTACACTTTTCTAATAATTTGGCACTCTCAAATCACCGCACTGATAACAAATATGGCGCCAGTTTGTTTACATTGCGCAGATCAGTACGAATTTCAGTGATTACGCAGGTCTGTGTTGCCAACATTGTGTGAAAATTCTGTGCGAATTGATTGGAGGGTTTTTGAAATATTAGAAAAAAGTTATCTCGATAATAATTTGGCACGCAGTATATATATATATATATATATATATATTGATAAATGAAAGCTTTCTAGCGAAATCCTTGTCCAACTAACAAAAGGGGTTCATCACCGCCCACTTCAGACGGAGTGGGTGTCCGGTATGCCGGTTTTCTAAGAGTAGCTTAGATGTGGCACAAAGCCGAAAGTATGTGGCATCCGGTGAGGATCGAAATCACTACTCAGTCGTAACTGAGAGAGAATGTCCGGATATGATCTGAGAAGCAGCAGAATAAGAAGAAAAAAACTTATATCCGCCAGTTCCTTTCTAGAGTATTCGCTGAAATGCTTCTAAAATTTGTTGCGCCTCAGGATAAGGAAACGTACTTAACAAGAGGATAGGACAAGCACTCTTGCTGATAGAATTTCCTTGTATCTTTTTTTTTTCTTTTTTTTACTTTTTAATGTCTGAATGATCTATTTGCTGCAGGGGCCAGGTTGTTAGCTTTTACCCTTCATTATTATTATTATTTTTTTTTTTTCATTTTCTCTCCTCCTCCTACTCCTCCTCCTCCTACTCCTCCTCAGCGTAATCGTTTTTATTTCTTAACTGGAATCAATTCACTGTTGTTATTGGCAACTGATTGAAGGTTGTAATCACGACGCACACCGTGTATAAAATAGATTAAAGCCGAGAACAACCTTAAGAGGATAAAAGATTCTAAACAATGTCATTGATTTCTAACGGCGCGAACTTTTCATATCATTTAAGAGCCTGTGCAGGTTTGTATTTGCATATGTGCAAGTGTTTGTGTCCGCGCGTAGCTACAGTTGTGCACAATCGTAGCTGTCTACGAGATCTGATCAAAAATAGGACGGGACTGGTGTCATAAAAAAGAAAAAAAATAACTACAGCACATACTAATTCTATGTTTTATAATTCTATACAAATAAATCCTATGCTAACAGTTTCTTTTTCGCGCACTTCTCGCTTGTGGAACTCCCTTCTGACTACCTGCTTTCCAGGCAACTTTAGTCTTCTAAAATTTAAATGCAATATCAATCGCTATCTAATCTCCTCCTGGTTACTCTTTCCTCTTCCCGTTCATTAGCAATGTTTCTGTTCCTAATTCTTCCACAACATGTAACCCTTTGTGTCTTAGTAGTTTCTGTGACTTGCATGCTGTGATACCAATTATATATATATATATATATATATATATATATATATATATATATATATTCTGGGGAAATAAATTATAGTCATGGAACCTGAAGGTTGTCACTTTTTAATTAGTTAATTTACACACACACACACATATATATATATATATATGTGTGTGTGTGGGGGTAAAAGACAATAGGAAAACTGTAATATTTGCCGACGCGTTTCGTCCGATGTGGACTTTTCTCAAGGCCAAACGAAAATTTTCGTTTTGGCTTGAGAAAGTCCACATCTTTTTTACATTTATAAATATTGTCTTTTCTACGGGTTAACTCTGAAAAAAATTTTCATATATATATATATATATATATATATATATATATATATATATATATATATATATATATATATATTGTGTGTATTTAGGCAGCATATTTTCATTTATACACGTTTCATTAAATAATATAGACAAGTGTTGTCTATCTATTTTATGTAAAATTTTTCGTATCTTCTGATAAGTTTGGTAACATTATCATTAACCGAAAAAAGAAATCTAAGCTTTCGGCTTACTCAAGATGTAAATACAAACATATCAAACAATATACGGACACGACAGTGATGATATAGTCTGTCATTGTTTTGTTTACATAGTGGATCACTACAACGATGAACACGCGCATATAAGACGCTAGAAGCGAAAAATCGCACTGCATCTCATGACGTCACACATGACTACACGAGAGTGAATTGGAGAATGAAATAAGGAAAGCCGTTGGTATAACCAATGGCTTCTGTTACCAATTATTAAAATTATAGACATTTAAGAATATTTGTAGAGATTCCATAGTTGATTTTGTTTAGGTTGGGTTTTAACTGTTTGATGTATAATGCTTCAAGTATTTTTAGTTTTTGTCTATTGTTTTCATGTCGAAGTATAGTTGTGTTTTCGACAAGTATTTTTACGGAATTGTGTGCGGGCAGGCATGTTGTTTTAAATGCCTAAAAATGTTAGAGTTTTCATTAAGATGTAGTGTCAAGCGTCGTGAAAGCGAGTTTGTGGTGTGACCAACATAAATATTATTTAATTCGTTGGAGATACACTCTCCCAAAGGGCACTTGAATTTATAAACTATGTTGGTTTTTTGCAAATCGCTAACCGGGGGAGAAGAATCATTGCGAAGTATTAAGTTGGATATACTAGATTTAGTGTAGTATATGATTAATTTAATTTTTTTGCTAGGATCTGTAGTTGATATATTAGAATTTACTAAATTTTTTAGTATGTGTTCATCTTGTTTATAATTAGTATGCATTTGATTACGATATAGGAGATTAATTAACAAAACAATGACAGACTATATCATCACTGTCGTGTCCGTATATTGTTTGATATGTTTGTATTTACATCTTTGATAATGGCTTGAGTAAGCCGAAAGCTTAGATTTTATTAAAAATAATGGATAAATATTGTGAATTTCTTTTTCGGTTAATGATAATGTTACCAAACTTATCAGAAGATACGAAAAATTTTACATAAAATAAATAGACAACACTTGTCTATATTATTTAATGAAACGTGTATAAATAATATATATATATATATATATATATATATATATATATGATTAAAAGATGGCAGTTTTGTTTTGGGAGTGTTATAATTCACAATCCATTTCTTGCCCCAGTTAACAACTGGTTGGAGGCCAATTTCAAGAGCACAGGGAGAATTCATGTATTCCAAAAAAGCATTCATGGTATAAAGAATCTCCATTTTCAAACCTGGCAACCATTATGTCACCTTGTATTTTCTATTCAGTTACTTTTTTATGACATTTTAAATTTATCTGGTTTCCTGCAGAGGCACCATTTCAATTGACTTGTCACATATATTCATTCTGAAATATGTTTATGGCCTCTAATTTTATTATAACTATATACACTTATGCAGTATATATTGCCAAACATTTACTTCCAGCCATTGGTTCCTGTATAATTACTGAAGTTAAGCAATGTTGAGCTTGGTCAGTATGTAGTTGGGTGACCACTTAGAAATACCAGGCTTGGATGTGTGGTATAATAGACTAGCAGTAGAACCCGGCGTTGCCCGGGGATGTAACAGTAAGAGATAGATCAAGTATCGACCATTAAAGACTGAAAAATAAAATTGACAAAGATTATTGTTTAAGGTTGACGGACACGCATGTCTTAATTAGTTTTTTGTTTTGTTTTTGTTTTTTTACGAATTGATCAAACTCAAACAAAAACATTGTTTTCAATCGTTATGAGTCTCTACCGATTGAATAGAATGTTATTATAAACAATTGTCTTGTAAATGGAATTTTTAAAGCATTCTGAATGTAAAAATAAAGAAAAAAGTGTGCAAGACAATAAGAAACATTACCTGCCAAAAAAAAAAGTGAAGTTTTGTTGAAATCGGTTGAAAAATGTAGGAAATCCGATCCCATATATAAACGAGCACACACACACACACACACACACACACAACCTGGCTTTTATAATAAGTATAACTCGATATGAGTTGTACCCCTTTCATTCCACGAAAGCAATGCCTCTTAACCGTGTTTTCAAACTGATTTTGTACAAAAACAATTGTGTTTTTCCAATTTTTGGCGCTGTCAGAACCACCGCAAGGTAATTTTACGTAGTCCTGTGAAGTTTTGTTGAAATCGGTTGAAAAATGTAGGAAATCCGATCCAATATATAAACGTACAGACACACACACAGACACACACACACACACACACAGACACACACACACACAGACACACACACACACACACACACAACCTGGGTTTTATAATAAGTATGATATGATAATGGCTTGGAATTGTTAATTGAAGATCAGAATTCCAATTCCAGTTGGATTCATTACATTCCCTTACATGCAAATACCCTTGAGAAAGGTATGAATCCACTTCTTCTCCCCCCAGCTATCGGTTAATTAGACTTGTATCACTAAATCATTATCTTCTTTAAAAAAAAAAGATTCTTAAAACTCCCCACAACCATACTTAGTTACCTCCCCTTAAAAGGTGTCAGCGATCACGCACTGAATCAGCGTTCCTCACTCCACACGTAAAAAAATTAACTTTCACATGAACACTACAATATTTGTCTTGTAATAAACAATACCCTGATGATGACATTGTGATATGTTGAAAGTACTCGGAAATAAAAGAAATATGTATCAAAATAGCGATTTTCTCTCGTCCTTCAATAACGACACCAAAAAAATTATCCATGAATATAAAAAGATCCTATTGAAAATAAATAGACAGAACATGTCTAAATTATTCAACGGAACATGTCTCAATGAAAACATACTGCCAAAATATACGCATATATATATATATATATATATATATATATATATATATATATATATAATTATGGTGTCCTCCCTCTAAAGAATCTATGTTGGACTCGTTCGCCTACTATAAGATTAGTAGGTGAGAAGGCCTTGGGGGACAGTTCAATAGATTGAACGCTGGGTCATCCGACACACATTCACTAAACGTGTAATACTCTTCTGTTGTACTGTTTAATATATGATATATCTACAACACTTTTTTTTATTTCTTTAACCATTTACTTGGGTCATATATATGCACATTTTATTGAATACGACTTTGATTTGATTTGTGTTTTTATACAATTTCTCATGTGCTCTAAGAATGTTTTCTTTTCGGATGATAAATTATATAAAAAACTGTCCAATGGTTCTTTTTATCCGAGCGCCTTCGGCTATACATTTAGCCATTTTCAAGGTTGAATTATATTAACTGTTAACAAGAAATAGATTGTTATATGCATATATTTATATAATGTTTTCCTTTTCAAAACACGGTCAAGATATTGTGTCCATGTTCATAGTTAATATTATTGCGTGTTTTTCTTTTGTTTTATATAATAGCATCATCTACATGCAAAGAAGGCTAAAAATAATGGAATACTTATTAATAAAAACAAAAAAAACAACACTTAATAATATTAACTATGAACATGAACACAATATATTGACCGTGTTTGGAAAATGAAAAACATATAAATACATACAAACAACAATCTCTTTCTAGTTAACAGTTAATATATTTCAACCTTGAAAATGGCTAAATGTATAGCCGAAAGCACTCGGAAAGTAAAGAACAATTGGACAGTTTTTTATATAATTTATCATCCGAAAATAAAAAAATATTAGATCACATGAGAAATTGTATAAAAAACTAAAATCAAAGCACCTTGCCCGTCGTTTTTAATGAAATGTGCATGAAAGAAGGATTACTGCCTAAATACACACACACACACACACACACGTGCGCGCATATATATATATATATATATATATATATATATATATATATATATATATATATATATATATATAAAGTGGACATTGATGCCAACACCCTGTTGCCGTTAGATGTTGACCTCGATGTTCACTTGCCGTGAGTTTCTAAAACAACATTATAAACGTGATTTAAATTCTACGTTTTAAAGATAATAAAATCAAATTCATTTAAATGATTCAATTCTGTCTTTTTTCTGCACTCGATTCCTATTCTTCTTAGAAGAAATAAAAATAACTCGACGAACAACAGACGATCATTTGAACATTTAAATGTCGTAAGACACGCCCCAATAAACAAACAAGACTATTCATCGAAATATCTTTCAATCATTTTTGTCACTTTTATTGTCCCGTTTTTATACCGAACAGGAACAGTTCAGTTGTTATTTTACAGTTATAAATTGAAATGTTATCACCGATTTTTGTTTTAATATTTCATTATTCAGCTTTGAGTAAAGTGCTTGAGAAGTATTCAATGAAATGAACTAGATTATGAATACGCCGTAACCTTTAATACAAAGCGACACACTGAATGCCATTGGTGATATTTAGGTATATTTTATTTCTTCCAATTTCTTTTCAAGTCAGTTGTTATTATCGCTATCATTGTTTTCTCTTTTGTTCATCCTTTTTTTTCCTTAGTTAACCTTTCTTAGCCGTGCTTTTCCATTTTTAGTTATCGTCTGCTTTTATACGATCTTTCATTTTTAAAATAAAACGCCATGTTTGTTCCTTCCCTGTATCTTGCGTTCTGTCTTTCTTTTGTATTTTTTTTTAGTTTTTTTTTTTCTCTTTTTTTATTCCTTGGCATTTTCATGCTTTTTCTCATCAGCCATTTTTTTTACCTTTTTCTTTCATTCTTGCGTTATGTTTTACACCCTTTTTTTTAAATTTTTCTTTGTTCTTCGTTCATTCCTTCTGTTTCTTTCCTTTACGAAGAAATAAGTGAACAACAAAATTTATTTCTATTAATTCTTGGCAATTTATTCTTGGATTTTTTTTTTTACCATAAGTTTCTCGATCGAATACATTCCGACCTTTAAAGCAAATAGCGTGAAGCAAGAATAAAAAACGAAACTTAAATTCGCTTCTCGTATGCAAGGAATTTGTCTTTAATGGACCAGTTCAGCTATGGAAGCTTATTGTAAGACAAGGCAGAAATATATAACCATACTGCCTCTTCTCTTTATTTTATTTTTCGGTCGAGTTAGCTTTATTAGTCTATAACTCCAGCCATCATGGTCCTGCATCAAGGTCGGAAGAACATTATGGATGTATTCTGTGTCATAACATAGCTGGTCAATATAGGTGATTGTTGGGTGACCAATATGTTTTACTCCATGACTAAGTGTCCAGAACAGGTATCCAGAACAGTCGATCACTTGCGAAGTCTTGTTTTGCTCGCCAGCAGTGTCCTGCAAAGCGCATTCTGCGTTCACGTAAGATTGTAGAAATATCAGGGATGGCTCCATAAAGCTGTAATTTAGTTGGCTGTTGTCTCTAAAAGATGTTGTGTATAGCTCTCAGCATTCGAGTAGAGGTTCTAGAGTTCTAGGGTTTTAGTGAGTGTCCAAGCAGTAGCACGATACATTAATACTGCCTCTATAGCCGTCCTGATTAAGACGATGAACTGCATTCGCGTCCTGGGTAAGACGATAAACTACGTCCAGCAGCAATGCCTCTGTTCAGGAGGTTTTTAGGAGCATGGAACCACCTCTTAATTCCTGGTGTTCCCAGATCAACTCTGACTCAGTGTAGTAGCACATGTTAGGGTTCTGAGTATGGGCAAATAGTTAGCCCCCAAACTGGGGTCAAAAAAGTATGAAAGTGAAAAAATAAGTTTTAATGCCAACAATAAATTTTTGAGGAAAAATTGTAACCAGAAATACATTTTTGAAGAAAAGAAATATTACCAGCAATAAAAATCTTGTCGGCATTAAATAACCCATTGAGGTGTTGATATGCTGTAAAACAAAATAAACCAAACCTGATCTAGAAAGTGATTTCTTACAAAGAATACATATTCTATTCATACGAATCTATCCTAAAAATCTTGTCAGCATTAAATAACCCATTGAGGTGTTGATATGCCGTAAAGCAAAATAAACCAAACCTGATCTACAAACTAATTTCTTACAAAGAATACATATTCTATTCATACGAATCTATCCTAAAAATCTTGTCGGCATTAAATAACCCATTGAGATTGATATGCCGTAAAACAAAATAAACCAAACCAATCTAAACCAAAGAATGTATATTCTATTCATACGAACCTATCCTAAAAATCTTGTCGGCATTAAATAACCCATTGAGGTGTTGATATGCCGTAAAGAAAAACAAATCGCCTCTAGAGTGACTCCAAAGAATCTCCGCGTGAGATCCTCTGGCTGAGTGGTTAGAACGTCCGCATTCTGACCATGAGACCCGGATTAGAATCTCACTATGGTCGATTTGTCAGGAAGGAAACTTTCTGGAGGGGTAGTTACCAGCGTGCGGCACATTTGGAAAGTGCCTGAAAACCATACCACGGGTTGACCCAAGCCTTGGAGGTGAAACTGGGTAGACGGAACACTTGGGGGGGGGCGTCGATAGCTGTGCTAACGTGAAGTCACAAGTCATCGTGACCAAGGGCTTGAGTCTGCTGGCCTTGTTCAAACTGTTGATCACGCTAGATAACACGCTCTTTCCCAGAAACTGTAACTAAGGTCTTCTCAGCATAGTTTCAGTATAAACCACAGATGGGCCCTGTGCGTGTTGAATGAAAACAAATGCGCCTGCTGTAGGCTAGCCACCCTAGTTGACGGGTATCCTTGAATACGAGTGGAAAGCTATATTATATAGAATGAGGCAGAGAGGACGGGCGTTTTTGAAAAATTCACAAAATCATTATTTTTTACTTTAAAATGTGTTCGTATTGAATTAGCGTTTGACAACGTTCCTCATGTGATGCCCGTTTTCATTGGTGCGTTCTTGGAATTTGGCCTACACGCTTTCCAACATTGCTTTGTCGATTTGGGCGACTTCCATGCGAATAGCTTCCTTCAAATCGTTTAAGGAGCCTAATAACGACAATTCAGTCAATTGACCATGTCATTGAGATGAAAATGAGCTTCCTCACTCATTTTAAAAAAAATGAGGTTGTCATTTGCCTCAAAAAATTGCTTCCAAGAAGCATGAAACTAGACAGGAAAGAAATTTAATCCTATAAACATTTTTCATTTCTGAAGGCGTTCCTGGAAGTTGGCCTCCACTCTTTCCAGCATTGCGTCACTTTGGGGCTGTACAGTGGTCTTTCGTGCAGTTCTTTAAGATTTTCAAGAGCCCAATAACGACATATAATCCCCCCCCTGGGCTGAGTAACAGCCATTTCAAAAACGTCCGTTCTCTCTGTCTCACCTTATAAAAGCATTCTAGCATTTTTTTAATCACAATTTTAAAGTTCGACCATTAAATACAATAGCATGAAGTAGGAATAAAGACTCCCGCCAAAACTCATATTCAGTATACAAGGATTTTATCTTTCATGGACGTCGCATTAACCATTTCGGTCATAGAAGCGTGAAGCTAGACAAGGAAAAAATTTAATCCTATTAACATTTTTCTGCAACAAATCTCTATGATATATACAGGCTTACGGCCATATCACGTTGAAACACCGGTTACCGTACGATCAGTGAAGTTAAGCAATGTCGCCTGTTCATTACCTAGATGGGTGACTCCTTGGGAATACCAGGTGCTGCAAGATGGATGTGCGGCTCGTGTAATGGTTCGAAATTGTTAGTTGGAAAGCCGAATTTCAGTCCCAATTGGGTTCGTTATATTCATTTACGCTCAAAAATCCATGGAAAAGTATGAATCCACCGCTTCTCCCTCAACTATGGGTTAAATAGTAGGACTAGTATCAATAAATGATTTTTTTTTTAAAATAGATTTTACAATCTCAAAATATATTCTGGATTTAACTTACATGCAAAAGGTTGGTAAACCATAAAAAACAAACCAATCAATCAATCTAGTTTTCATCGTAGTTCAGATAGATCTAAGAAAGATTGTTGAGCGACTATGTTTCAGCATATGTGTATAGAATCATATTTTTCATCCTAAATAAGGTAAAAAGCCTCTAAGACGTAAAGGGGTTACTGGGTGGGAGAAAATATGATAATATATATATATATATATATATATATATATATATATATATATGTATGTATAGGCAATCCGGCATCTAGTTTTCGAGACAAGAGGTGGAAATATGACATAGAAGAATCATAAATTAATAATGAAAATACTATCTCTCTAGCTCTAGTGGTAAGGTAGCTTTAGCCTGCCAATGGCAAGATATACCTGGCGAAGTCCATCCATCTCCAGAGAGGTGACAATACGATTGTCGATATGTGCTTCGTCTTGCTAGATGGATGAATCGATAGAGACGTTTGTTATTTTGTTTAGCGGCATATCAACAGATCATTTTTTATTTTGTTTATCAACAGGTCATTTTTTATTTTGTTTAGCGGCATATCAACAGGTCAATAGGGTCATTTTTTTAAAGTATTTCACCCTAAGCAAGGCCGGAGTGCCATTAGCACGCAGGTGGGTTAGAGAGAGTGAAACTGAGAGAAAAGTTTGGGCCTAGTGGGGAATTGAGGAAAAGATAAAAGATTAACGGGGTTCAAGTCAACAGAAGATGGTGATGGACGTTGCATTTAAATTTTTGTCGTTATCAGGGAAGCAAGTAAGAAGAAGGGAGTTCTATGGTCGGGAAATGCGAGAAAATAAACAGTTGGAGTAGAAGTGACGGTTACATTTAACTGTTTCCACATTAAAAGCGTAGGACCTAAATGCCAATCTAGTACCACCCTTAAATTCATGCAGTCGGGGCACCAGGGGAAAACGCTCGTCAGAGCAGTTGCCATGAAGATATTTGTAGAAAAGACAGAGGGAAGCCACATTATGTTTTGAGGAAGTGACTGAAGCCGAGATGCCAAATCAGGACCGATTAAATTGCAGATCCTTCTTTCGATTTTGTCAAGAGCCACGAGATGAACAGCAGACCAGATATAGCAGCAGTATTCAATACACGGACGAATGGTGGATTTGTAGATGTGTAAGATGGACTCTGACGAGAAAAATCTTCTGGCACGACACAGTGAACCAAACTTCCTCGCAGTAGATGCAGCTATTGATTCAATGTAGTTGTTCCACTTCAAGTCAGTTGAAAACGTGAGGTCAAGAAGGCACAGGGAGACGCTCTCCTGGAGTCTAGCGTCAGCCATGCTGTTGACGGCCAGGGAAATTTCTCTATAGTGGTTAAATGAAAACAGTTTAGTTTTGGAGGTATTAAAATTTACAAGCCATTTCCTGCCCCAGTTAACCACTGATTGAAGGTCCTTTCCAAGATCAGCAGTCAGGTTAACTTTATCAGCGCTATCGGATTTACTATTGAGACAGGAGTAAACTGTAATGCTGAAATTTAATTTTCTTGAGAGCTTTGACGTAATTAAATAATATATATGGTATTTTTCTTTCACAATTGAATACATGGTAGATGATACTCAACTTTTGTGCATATACATGTTTGTGTGGACATAATTAGTAGAGGCAGAGATATGTGTGTTTTATGTTGTAGTTTTGTTGAAGTTACATTTTGGAATACAGCTTGATTTGTGATGTACGGTGGCCGATAATAATTAAGACTTCAATGTTAAGATAAAACAGTATTTAATTACAACCGCAAATAAATACTTAACAAGAACAAAGGAGTAAAATTCAACCAAAGATAACCATTCTAGTGAATACCTTGTTAGTAGCGCGGTTCGGTTTAACGTCCGGTAAATCCTAAATCAAAACCCAAATCATCAACGCACAATAATTCACACTAATTCGACTGGATAGTTCCACTCAACAGTCACTAAATAATCACCACAGTCAGTAGCCTGACACCGCTATTTATACTTCTGGCGGAAAACATATTCATAAATCCAGAGTGTCACGCTTGAACCTCAGCGTCGGAATATTATATGCACTAATGTCTTGAAAGAGTTCATGTTTAGTTGGTTGTATGATTTTCTTTAATGGCATATCAACCCCTATTGGTTATTTAATGTCGAAATCTAAATATTTTGAGCACAATTGCATACCTTCAAATATATATAAAATGTATTGTTAGCCATTTTGCTATATAATGTATTGTTAGTAACTCTACTATGAATAGATATTGCAGATATTTTTACTATAAATGTGTATTTTTATGTTCTCACGGTGTTTTGTTTGAAGGTTTACCATTTTCCCATAGCTGGTACCCTAACAGCTGCTACTGCCCCGGGTCAGGGTGGACTTGGGAACAACAGCAGTTAAGAGGTGGTTCCACGTTCTTCAAAACCTCCAATCTCCTAATCATCGGCCTTGCTGCCGGATGTAGTTTATCGTCATACCCAGGACTAATATTTTCTTTTATTTTCTTAAGGGACTCACCATAATGTTTTTATCATCCTTATTTTACCGATTAGAAGTTGTCAAAAGACGTACACAACATCGAAATGCTACTGACGACTTTTCTGCTTTCAAATTAGAGAACTCTAATTGAATTTATGTTTTCATGCATTATTACTAATTTGCAATTAAAATTGCAAACTCTGCACAATTCCCTTGATTATTTCCTGCCAAAATTCCAACACAAGGTCTTCGTAAATTTGGCGAATGAAGGAAGAAAGAGATGAATAACAAAGTCACACAAGAGAATTTATTGCCATCGATTATTCCTTTGACTGTCCGGTGGCTATCGCGTGTATAAATCGCTTAATAGATTAACATAAATCTTGATATTAAAGTTAAGCTCCTTAATAAATTATCAAGACCATAGGTGAGTTTTATATCTTTTTATTCTTCTCGAAATAATAGAAATTAACGTTTTACTGGATTATCCCAAATATAGGCGGATTTTATATTTGATTCTTGTCAGAATAATATAAATTAATATCTGGATTATCTCAACTATACATGGATGTTGTTTTTTATACTTCTCAACATAATACAATTAACCCCTTACTGGATTATCCCGACTATCGGCAGTTTTTATTCTTGTTAAAAAAAAAAAAAAAGAAAGAAAAATATCTCAGAATAACACAAATTAAGTCCTTACTGGATTATTCCGACTACAGGCAGATTTTATTCTTGTTAAAACAATGCAAAATATCTCAGAATAATACAAATTAATCTCTTACTCGATTATTCCAACTATAGGCGGATTTTAATATTCTATTCTTGATCCAGTGGCACAAATTAATCCCATAATGGATTTTCCCGAATATTTATACCTCATATCTTTTTTCACATTCTTTTCCAGTCTTCATATAATACGTTGTATATCCAGATAGAAATGGTGTATGAACTGTCCGAAGTTTATGTTTGTTCTGTTGTCTTTGTTCAAATACTTTCAACGGTCTCCACTTTTGTTTCAAATCCTATTATATATCCTACAAACACGGATATATAGAATTTTTGAAGATTAAAGTTGGCTGGAAAGCATGGAGTCGGAAAAGAGTACCACAAGCGATAAGTGCAAGAGAAGGAACTGTCGTCATAGAACTTGCGGCTAGTTCAGCTGTGAATTGGTGAGATCTTGCCGCCAATACTGCGGCTAAATTCATAAAGTCTATCAGAGCGAAGATATAAAAGTTTAAATTGCACAAAAGCCAAATTCGTCTTTTTAATGCAAAATATAAGATTTTTAACTCCTTACCAACTCTAAATTCGTGTAGCAAACACAAAGACCTCGTTAGTAGGAATAAAAAGTTGTATAAAACGCAATTAACAAGACTCGACCACTTAAAGGACAAAAATCTATTACAGTATACAGAAAAATGAAATACAAAAAATTTAGATATGAGAATCTTGCGTTGTAATTTCCTTTTATTCGCCATATAAATAATTAAGGCAAGATAACACATCCTATATACGGCAAAAAAGATTACACCTTTTAAAAATGAAGAAAAGGGAAAAACTTCGAGGAAGCAAAAATTACAAAAGCGCCCCCACCTATTCTTTACAACTGAAAAGGAATGTCTGCAATGTTATTTGCTCTGACCTGGCATCTCGGCATCAGTCAATTTTCCCACCGCCGTAGCGTAGTCTCTCTCTGCTTTTTCTATGAATACTTCCATGATAATTGTTCCGATGTTGTTATTTTTATTCCCCAACACCGACAGACAAATTTTACATATGAGAAGCAACGGCACGCCTAGGCGCAAATTAAAATACCACAGCACACTGAGCAAAATATTTAAATACATTTAAATATTTCTGTCTATATTTCTGTGATGAGGTATTATGTACACTATTTACATTATTAGGACTATTGTCCTCATCTTTGTTGCCATATTTATTACAACGTTTCGGCCTTTCAGTATCTGTCTATATATCTGAGATGAGGTATTATGTACACTATTTACATTATTCGGACTAGTGTCCTCATCTTTGTTGCCATATTTATCACAACGTTTCGGCCGTTGTACGCTCCGGCTTTCTTCACGTGATTGGAATGTCGAACTGAACCGTTTATTTCGCTTGCTAGTGTCGACTGTTCTAGTTTCACGTGCCATGTCTAATGGATGCCACTCATCAGTTATCTCCTGTTAATTCCCCTCTTCAAGTTCCTTAACCGGGTATTGAACGCGCAAAAAGGAGTTTTGCGTTTTCAACCGGTTGCTGTCACGGGGACTTTATGTAGTCCTTTTCTGAAAGAAA